AATATAGCAATGAATGATGGCAAAAATATATAGATATTCGTGTAAAAATAAATAAATTTAACCAGCAAGAGATACTGACTAAAATTTGGCTCAAATAAACGGAGTCCATATAAACGAAGTTTTACTATATAACAAATATATTAATTGCGATTAATTATATCAGATATTACGGGAAACATAGTCATTTTGTTCCACGTATTTACACTACCGTCCATAAGTATTTGAACAGTTGGTGCACTTCAATCGAAAAAGATTAGCATTTTTATTATATCTTCAAATCTCATGTTCCCTTATCTACTTCTTGCAATAAATAAATACAAATGATATAAATTGATAGTGAAACAATATTTGCATCGTTCAAATTCTACGTTTAATAATAACTTTTAAAATCTTAAGTACAATTTTATTAGATATTATAATTTAAGTTAGTTAAATGTCTTTGCAGGAAAGATATCACCCCTCTTAAATTTTTTTTTTTTTTTTTGTTTATTTAGTACGTTGGAAAAAGAAGCACGTTTCATTTGTCTTACGAGAAAGAATACATTTGTTTGCGAAGAAAAGCATTGACACGATTTTCAACGATTTTCGCCGAACGTTAGCACTTCTCATGGCAAAAAGTAATACGTTTCAATGATTTCGAACGAAAAGCAGCATGTTTCGATTGTAAACGATGAAAAGAATGACGTTTGAATAGTTAGCGATGAAATCTCACGTAATTATTGAATTATTTGATTTATACTTAATTGTAATGCATATCTAATTATTAAATGTGAACCATTATAAATTACCATTGTACATAAATCATCATATTAACACAAAAAAGATGATTGAAATACAAAACTTGTTTCAGAGAAATCAAAAATGCAAAAAATTAGAAAAATAAAGAATATTAACTTTTATTTATACATTTTACGAAAAAAACATTCCTAAAAATACAAATACAATCTACAAAAATCTCTCGGAAAAATTATACACTGGTCATTTTGATAGTTCTAGCATTAAATGTGAACCATTATACAAATTATATAAATAATTTTTTATAAAATTAACAATATGTGTTCGTTTTTATTAGAAACATTCTTTTTAGTGATACGATAAAATCAATTGCTTTTTCGCTAATACATATTTCGCGAAATAAATTATTATTGACGAAACATGCTACTATTCACAAGAGAAGTTGATATATATTTCTTTTCGCAATTAGTTGAAATGAGATACGCGTGTTTTCTTAACACATTGATCGCTATGATAGTCTATTCCTACAAGTATTTTAGAATAATTAAAATAAGACGAATATCATTAACAAATAGTTTTAAATAACATAAATAACTGGATACAACGAAAAATACGTTTTTGTTGTACTTTACTGTAATATCTTTTGTCCTACGTATATTAAGATATATATGTAATTAGTACCTTATATTATTGCCTAAGACAAAATCGTAGACTAAAGTTAGGTTAGAAACTCTCGTTTGATGTGCATACGTACTATATTTGAACGTGTCGGAATACTAAAAGACGGCAGTGCACATGTCCGAAAATGAATCAGTTCCTTCAAGTAACAGGACCAGTACTAATTAAGTAAAACCACTGTTTTGTGCGACGAAAGTGCGACAATTTATATACGTGTTTGAGACAGCTTCAGTTTGAGCAATCCGCTGGTCCGTCACGAACACGTGACATACAAATATTTCCTGTGCGCATGCGCGCATCTCTACCTGCATGCATGCGCGCATGCGCGTATCGATAATTTATAACGCGCGCTCTTGTATGTACGTATTACTGGCACATTAGAAATTGGCGCGCATTCTCGTCCCGATGACGAGATACCGTGTTAGATCGATAGATCTCTATCACGGTGAGCCTCTGCAAAGGTGATCGCGAGATTATTTGACAAAATAATGGAAAGTAATCGAGGGAAATTCGATCGTTGAGACGCGAAATAAATATCCGAGGGATCATGATCGAACAAACTCGCTTGTAAGTTTGCATACGCGTTGTTGTTAATGTTAGCTACTTCGATTAGCTGCCGAGTACGGTTCCCGACTTTCGCTCGTTCGACCGATCGAATCTTCCTGCGTTTCGTAAGATTGGGAGCGTTGAAACGGCGTACGTTGTGACGATTTACAGAATTACTTGTACATTTGACAACACTTTTTACGAATATATTATCTGTATTATAGAAAAGATTTACTAGCACTGTCGCGATACTCAATCATCACGATTATATTGGTAAAATTTTCAACGATTCTGAAAATATAGATAAAACAAAATATTTAATAATACAAAGTATTTGTATTACTATTATAATTATTGTTACAATATTGTATCATCAAATTATTAATACAAGTATATTTTGCAAAAATCACAAAATTATTTAAATAGTCGGAATCCATTACATCAATAAGCCTATTGAGTGAAATCTTTAACATTTATTATATAATTTATTAAAATGGCTACTCATTCCACACATACTTTGCCTTTATTAAATATAGATTTGTAATAAATATCGTATAACTCTTATATACACTTTTAGATTGGTTTCAAATTTGACCAATATAATTACGATACTTGTGTTCATATAACGACATTTATTTTATATAACACATATAATTTGAAGTTGAGTATTTTTCAGTTGAATATTTGTGAACTATTGTACGTGAACATATAACGTGTATAAACGTTGCAAAGAAATTGCTGAAAACAACAGACGATTGACGATAATTATTCAGAAGCCATATTGATCGGTTTCATAAATCGGAAAGCACAGTAAAATGATGATATCACAAGCATTGTTTTTTTTTTAAATTTTCTTTAGAATTGACCATTATTTGTGCCATTTTCTTAAGTTATATATTTCTTTTTTTAGAATTAAATACTAATCCTGTAGTTAGAACTAAGTAAAAAGAAAATGTATGTAATTCAAAACATGCATTAAAACATAAAATTCAGAGCGTTCTTCGTAGCATGAATGCATCGAGAAAAAATTAACGAACGTTTAAGCATATGTTGAAAATATAATGCGTGAATACATAGTGCATTTAAACCGAATTTGTATTCACATCTACGTGTATTTGTGTTCATTAAACGAATATAACAAATAAGCATAAATTTGTCACGAGCGTTTATTCGTTTTATCACACTACAATGTGACTCCTTCGCAAACTCCAATTTTATTAATTTCATTACATAAGTATCACAGAATCGATATCCAATTCACAAGTTCGTAAATTCATTTTTCGGAGGAAAATGAGTAATGATAAATTCTAGAGATAAATTTAAACAATAATATTTATGGTATCAATATCTTCCTATGCTTTTTTAATTTGTAGAATAAATTGAAGAAGGTCGTTTCAACGCTCGTGTATAGGCTCGTTCGTAGCCCAAGGTTGAACTCAGACGAACCACTTTAGAACCAATTTCTCAACCATAAAACCATAATCCAATCTCAACCGATCTCATATCGATGAACGAAACCAATTTTTAATCGCTCGAAATCAATATCAACCACATTCCCATGTATCAAAATAAAACTTCAAAGAGGAAACACCCTCTCTGCTGTTATTTTTATTATCAAACTCTAAATGTACAATTTCGTAGAATCGTAGATTTGAAATTAACGATACAGAATGTTGCGAATTTTCAATGGTAATATTTGCATCTTTTGCAATTAATAGCTCGAAGAAAGCTGCGTCGCAGAAACAGAAATTTCGTGACTGACATCGTCCACGTATCGTTTCATGTGAATTTGTTCGCGACAGCGCAACCATCGTCTTGTGACCAACTAGTTTCGAACTGAATAGTTTTAAACTGATCCGTTTGAGTCACGCTTGAGTCGAGTCTCTCGACTTTATTGAGGCTTCGGTCGTATCGTCGCACATCCTGCATATATCTCTTTCCAATCTCTTCCTATCCGCGCGAACAATCTTAGTTAGCGTTGATCTCGATCGTGGTCACCGAGTTTCCTCGGCGTTCGTCCTCCGTCACAGGAGACGAAGGTGACACGGTGAAGCTCGCTAAACCGCTCTCGACAAGGCTCATTAAGTTACTTTGACGAACCTTAGCGAGCTTCTCGATACGCGCTTTCTCTTCTATCTTCTTCTTCTCCGCTGCACTCGCTGTTGCCGCGCGATTCCCACTCCTCGTGTTCTCCTGAACGAACTGCTCGAATTTCGACAACTGTCTCTCTGTGACGCTCTCCGGGATCTCGTTCCCCTCTATAGGCACTCCGTGTTTGCTCATCGTGGGTTTGTAAGTCTTCACCTTCGAGTGGCCCTGAATGATGAGGTACATCGGGCCGCGGATAGGTTTCGCCGGTTGTTTGTAGTGCGAGAAGATAGGATCGGTGGTCAGATTCGGTACGGTGGTAACTCTCGGGGTCGTCGAATCCGAGGACGAGCCGATCGATATTTTTTTCCGACTGTCTCGCTCTTTCTCCCGCTGCTCCTCCTCTTCCATTTCCATTTCCATTTCCACTTTCTCTATCTCTTCTCCTTGCTCTCTGTCGCGGACCGGTGCCTCTTTCCCCGCAGAACGATCGTCGCTCTTTTCCGAATGACCGGCGTCGTGCATGTCAACCAACGACGAATTCTCGAGCACGGGCGAGGAGACGGTAGGCAAGAAGGGAGAAGAGGTCGGTGTGGTAAAGATCGACGCGGTTGTGCCTGGCAAGCGAGCTCGATGCCGATCGAAGTAATGGTCCTCGGTAGCGATCGAATGCGCGATCAGAGTCGAAGTTTGCGACGGCGAGTCGACGAACATAGGGGGGAAGTTCTGTAACTGCGGCGACGATGGGCGAGCTGCTGGCTGATCCACGATCAAAGGTGATCCCATGTGATCGATCGTCGATCTTACAGGTGGCGGTGGCGGCGGTGGCGCGTGCATGTGCGTCATTGGCGGGAACATCGACATCGAGACCGGAGCTCGGAAACCGACTGTCGGACGCATGCTACCGAGAAGATGCATCGTCCCGTGGTTGGGCTTAGCCTGTGGGTGCATCATCGAGGAGAGAGGAGCTTGCGGCGGGCCAAATCCGAGGAAAGAATCGACAGGATGCTGGGAGGGGAACGGAGCGATCGTCGAGTGGTAGTGCATCGCGTGCTGCTGTTGCTGATGAGCCGGCATCATTTTGTTCGGTAAAACGACCGTGGACTGCGAGCTCTCCGCGAAGATCGGCGAACCTCGAACTGGCTGAAACTCGACTTTCGACGAGACTTCGCTGGCTGTTCCCGCCGCGGTTGAGTTTTCCACGAGGAGGTTGGTTGCGGCAGTTGTCTCCGGCGACTCCGGCTTTGTCACCGAGCTTGAAGAGGCGTGAGTCAACTTCTTATTCGTCGCCGAATAATTGCTCGGCATCACGATCGCCACTGGTTCTCGCTTCGCTTCGCTCGTCGCCTCGACGTCAAGACTGTGGGGCGAATTGGCGATAACGATGTGCATCTTCTCGGAGGGCCGATTCGTTGTCGATTCGTCGTCCGCGTCGTCGTTCTTATCCTCGTGGATGGAGTCGAACGTAGTGGTCGTCGTCATCGTGGTCGTAACAGGTGACACGGTGTTCGACGCTGAGTCGACTTTCTCCTTTTGACCGACGACCACCTCCTCGTTTTCGTTGCTGTCTCCGTCGACTATTATATTCGCGTTCTGCTCGACGACCACCTGATGATTCGAAGACGCCGCCGCGACGTGATGATCGACGTCGTATTGGTCGCGAGAGTAATCGCTGGCCTGACCGGCGTCCGATACGATGGTCGACGTCGCGAACGAGCCACCAGCTGGCCAGCCGCCGGACAATGTTTGCGTCGACTGGTAAATCAGATTGGACTTCTCGAAGGAAACGGACGGTGTGGTCGCGCTGTCGTATTTGAGCTTCGTCGACAGCGACGACGAAGGGCCGTGCACGCTCTTGATTGTTTCCACTTGCGTGGAGACTGTTTGAACAGGGCCTTTGTTCGGGGCGAACTTGGACAAAGTTTGAGACTGGTGTTTCCCTGGTTGCTGTTGATTGTAACCCTTCAGTGGAGAACCGTAAACCTGCGAGTCTTGGAGCACGAGTCCGTCCTCCGTTTGCGTGTTGTACTGCTGCTGTTGCTGATTCATAGACTCGACGAAGCTGACGATCTTGTCCTTCTGAGTCAACGGCGGTGGAAGCATCATCGTGTAAGGTTTCGTCTTTTGATTGTAAAACGGGCTGGGATAGTAGCTAGCCGGTATCGACTGGATTCTGTTTTGATTCCTGTAGTCGATCGGCCCGTTCCTGAAGTTGCTCGTCCTCACGAATTTCGGCGGTTCTGCGCCAGTGCTGCCAGTGAAGTCGTTGCCCCTGACATCCTGGTGGTTCGATCTCGTGAACTTCGGCCCGTCGACAAACTTCAAGAACTGCTCCGGTATCTTCGGACTGGTTTTTTTCGCGGTGACACCCAGTACGAGGATGTCGCGTTTCGCGGACGGCTCGGTCGTGTGAGAGTCGAGCCAATATTGAACCCTGTCGAGCACAGGCGGAACGTAATCGAATGTCGGATTGTTCTTCAACGGATCGCCACGGCCAAGCGGTGTCCACTCGTCGTAATCCATTCTCGGCGAGAATACGCGCGGCTTGCTCTCGCTTTGGCCTGCAAGCAAAACAGCTCTGTTCAATTCGAGTCACCCAATTATCATAATCAGCGGAAATTAGCATAGAACGCGATGATGATATATCTGATATAGCTGTAATTTTATTTCATTTTTAATATTATTTACGTAACTTACATATTTCAAAGTACGATGGAAATAATTTTGTATTCATTCTGTTTCCTCGTCCCTCCTTTTTCTCATAAAATGTGTAGAAAATGTGTGTAAAAGTGTTTGTTTCGAAAATTTCGAACTCCGTGCCTAGTTGAATTCATTGTTGATTCGTTACATATGCTCAGGCGTAAACTTTTGCACTATGGTAATTTCAAGCACTCAGAGTCAACACACAGACAAATAAAATGGAAGAATCGGTGGTGGATAAAACACGATAACGTTGCCAATTGCTCTCGTTCGGAAGAAGAAAAACGATATCGATTATGGGACTATGCGGTAGCGCGGGCAGGATGATTTCTCTTCTCTCATTTATGCTTGCAACACAGGTTGATGCATTTTACATACAACCGCACTCACTGGATGAACATTAACATCCATTCAATGCATGCTACAAAGAGATACCGTAGAAATAGAAACTACGGCTGCAATGCGAGGAGAAAACGCATAGCTCTCCAGAATTGAAATCGTTTTTAAATGGTCGTTGGATAAAAAGTATAGCCTCGCTTCCACTTGTGAATTTCAATGCATGTTCGTTTAGATCGATGAGGAAGGAAGAACGAGTTAGTGTTGGTTAGTTGTTGATTACACGAACTAGGAGGATCATCGGTGTAAATTTTAAATTTTAATCTTTATTTGGACATTTTACAATATTTTCATTTAATAATTAAATAATTTAATTTTTATTCTAACATAATATTTTTATTTCATTTGTTACTTGTAATATGTAGGCGTTTTACATACTACGAATGCAATTATTATATTAATTTTAAAATTGTTCGAAGAAGCATTACGAACGAAACTTGTTTGATTTCAAGGAGAAAGTAATTCATTTGTGATTGATTTGTAGTAAAAAAAAAAAATTTTAAAAAGTTAAAAATTACTTTGCCCTCAAAGTTTAAAATTGAGAACGAGAAATAGTTTTAGAGATAATTGCATTTGTAGATATAATAAAAAATATATAAATATAGATATTGATGTAGAAAATAGAACACTGTGTATATTACTTACATAAAAATCTTTTGCTGTAAAAATATGTAATTACAGAGGGCATAATCGAAATTGTGCAAAATAAAAATTGGCAGACACGTAATATCAACGAGATGATTTAATTTCAAATGCGAGTAAGAAATTAATACTAAATCATTTTAGTTACAGTTGGACTAGTTTAGTTTCGCAAGTATTGTGAAAGTGATACGAGACGAGACAGTTTCTTCAAGTATACTTGAAAGATGCGAGGGGAACGTAGGAAGACTCCAAGAATTCATTAAATGAATTTGCTCGTCTATAAATTCTCATAAACGGGTCGGACAAAAAGAATCTTTCGACGAAAGTCTGAGCAATTAAAATGAAAAGGACGTGCAAAGTTGATTAAGTTTAAGACGAGAGTTAATGACTTTATAAAGAAACACTGTGTCGTTTTAGTATATTCTTCTATTGTGTAGAGATTGTATATTGAAGTATATTGAAACACCGAATAGTAGATTTGTAGTTATGATTACAACGAGACACAACAGAATTTGTATTGAATCGAAAGCAAGATTCTCTTTTATTAAATCATTGTTTCTTTTTATTTGAATTATTCGCGTTGCAGAGATACAAATGAATTTCGCAAATGAAATAGTACATTCGTGTTAGAATTACTATCACTATTACTTACAATGTGAGTGGTTTAAATAATTTGTTGCTACTGTATTCTTAGTTGTTTCAATTGACACTATGAAGTTAAACCTTTTCCTTATCAATTTCTTTATGTACTTTTGATATCATTTTATGAGCAACAGAATTGATTTCAACACTCACGCAGCTTTCGTATTTCAAATAATACGTGGAAATCAAAATGTTCATGATTTCGAGAATCTGAAAAACTTCTACGCCCCTCTACAAAAATCCTCTCTCTCTCTCTCTCTCTCTCTCTCTCTC